CACATGACTTATCCCACCGGGTACCCATTTTCTGTAGGGTGAACAGAGGCAATTTTGAACAAACTCACTTGCCTAAGTTGAGACCACATGTATCACATGATCTTCATTGATGGGCAGGGGCAGGACTAGAAACTGCAGAGGAGTCAAGCTGCCAAACAGCTCTATGCACAGGACAATGCACCATCACCACTTCAATTAATAGTGCTGGCCTCGCCTGAGCCTCCAACCCAACACCATCATAGGTCATAACTGATGCCTAAACACCAATGACTGATGATGAGTAGAATTTGATATTCTTTCACACTTTCAGTTTGTAACTTCTTGTTAAAAGCTGAATTCCCAGATGACAGAAGTGCCTAAATGATTCACAGATTCAATCCTGCTGGAACAGCTTTGACAGATAATTATATTTATGGAATGGAAGCATTTGTATGCCATTAATAATTCACAGCACTATTCCGCTTTGTTGTTGGTGATTTCTACTACTTTTCAGGCAGATTTCCTTTACAAATCAACTGGGACTACATATTACACATGATGATGTACTTGCTTTCCTTCCACACAGTCACTGATTCAAAATGATTCAGTTACCATGCAATACATCAATTTATTCTGACAATACAGTTAAAATCAACCAACCAAATGAGAACCCTTCTCTCATCTCGCATAATGGGCACACCTTAAAAAACTAAAACTACAAAGCATAATCCTTATTATCAGCTGAAAAATTTAATGATACCCGTCAAACACATATTTCATAACTATTTCTTTCATGTTGTAAAACCTGTATTGTGTCGTCATAGCATTGTGACGTCACGGCCAGAGTTAACAGTTACTGTTCAGTTTTACCTGATGATGGGGCCAGAACAAGCCCTGAAACGTTGTACTCGAGAATAAAAAGAAGATGTAACCCAGAAAAATCTCTATGTTCATCAAATATCATCTTCTAAAATGCCAATCAAGCATCTATTTCTTTCACATTAGGCTGTTATTTGACCATTTTCCTCTAAAATCAAGCAAATTGTATATCCTATTAATATTTCATACTTTTGTCCTGGTGTAACTGCAGGGAACACTTATTTTTCTTGTTTATTTTGTAAGGAATATTTATAAAGAGTGAACTGCAATATTATTTACATATGTTATATTTCATATTACACTTTCTTAGTAGCATTACAGATTCTATATTTTTGTTGTCGAGTCCCATCCGGGATTCGAGCCCACACCTTTAGAGTCAGGAACCTAATCGCCAGCACACAAAGTCAGCCGTAAAAGCTGGGCAGAGCGGTTAGGCAGCCGAACTTTATGTGCTCGCCATTAGTGCCTGACTCTGAGGGTGTGGGTTCAAATCCCGAATGGGACTCAACCCAACAAAAGTACAAGAATCTGTACATTACTAAGAAAGTGTAATCCCAAATATAACATATGTCGTAATATTGCAGTTCACTCTATATACATATTCCCTTACAAAATAAACAAGAAAGTAGTGTTTCACTAAAGTTGCACCAGGAAAAAAGTATGAAATATAGGAAGTACAGTTTGTAATTTGTAATCATGCAATATTACAGACATACCAGTAGGGGATACTTGGAAATAACTTCAAATTTCCAAAATTGTAAAGGTCCTGTCACACCATGACAATTTAGACAGCTTATGCCGCCGTATGAAAAATTTGGCGAATACGCTGGCGTACACTGAATAAGTTATGGGTAAGTTTTGTATAAGTTAAACGCACACTAAAGAACGCTGGTATACATCGTAGTACGGCGAGGTCATTGGAAAATTTTGTGCACGCACAAAATGGTTGACGTATACCAACGTATGGCTCATATGTGGTAAGTTGAAGGCAAGTTATGTGATAGTTGACACACGCTACTGTAAGTTACTCATAAGTCGAAATACATCAAAATAAAGTCTAGCATACCCAAAACTTATTTCTAACCTATGAGTAACGTGCTTTGAACATACATGCAACTTTTATCGACTTATTTCAAAAGAATATTGACATATGTGAACGTATTTGACGTGTTCCGGATGACCACAGAACTTACTGAACCTGTTTCTAACTTACACTGACTGACTGACTCAGTTTGGTTTTACGCTACTTTTAGCAATATTCCAGCAACATCACGGCGGGGGACACCAGAAATGGGCTTTACACATTGTACCCATGTTGGGATTCAAACCCGGGTCTTCGGTGTGACGAGCCAACGCTTTAATTCTAACGTACAGCTACCATATAATGGCGTATTGGCAGCGTTCAGGGCAATTGGTAGGTAAACATGGGGTTCACAGGAGGAAACTGTCAATAATCCTCAAGACTCCTCAAGAGGTTCTTCCTCAGCACTCTCCTCGTCCATCAGATCACTGAGGATGGTGTTGATGCCTGACCGAGCCTTCCGGAATTTGTCCTTGCACATGCTGACCAGGCTGTCACGCACATAGTTGGCGAAAGCTATGGTGACTGTGATGGGCTGAGGCTGTGTGAGTCTTTTGATGAGCTCCCCAGAATCGTGCACCCTCTTCTGGAGTGACTGTAGCAACTGGTCATTGTCCATGCTATGCTTGCCCAAGTGCTGTGAACATGAGGAGAAAACAGCAGGGGACGTCATGCTGTGGTCAACAACAACCATGTCTGCATGGGTAGCCTCGAGGTCCCCCCCGATAGGTCTGCCGACATGCCAACCGGCGAAGGCGACCTAAAAAGCACCTAACACAACAACAACATCCCCCCCGCTGTGTGCCACAATTCATGTTTGTCACAACCTGACCCATACCCTGAACAACACCCTGGAAGTGGTGGAAACATACAGGCATTTGTAAAGGAATGCTCTCGACTTCTTAAAGCTCAAAGTTTCCAAACAATAAGAAATATATGTAATCCTGACGCTAACACACAAGTGGAAAAACATTTGAAATCTATCATTTGACAATATTTCTTTCATTTGGCATAATTGGAACTCATTCCTGCCATGATGGCTTCAGAAATTGGGTAATCTAATCTAAACTTCCTGGAAACATCATGCAATAATTCATTGAGCAGCTGCGCATTGCGGTACAGACAGTGGTTCCTGCCAGGGGATCTCATTAGCAAGAATCTAGATAACAGGTATATCTGTTTGGTTTATCGCATGATAAATACCAATCGTTTGGTTTCAGTGAGTGAGTTCAGTTTTACGCCACTTTTAACAATATTCCAGCTATATATTCACACATTGTACCCATGTGGGGAATCGAACCCGGGTCTTCGGCGTGACGAGCAAACGCTTTAACCACTAGGCTACACCACCGCCCTGTTTGGTTTCAGAGAAAGGAACCTTTGACAGACCCTGGCTTTAGGTTTGTACACTCAGCATGATTCCAGCAATAGACAACGGCTGCCTGTAAGTAATCTAGCTGGATCAGACAATCCAATGATTAACATGATCAACAATCCACACCATCAGGGTATGACAACATATGATCAACCAAGGGTACTGACATGTGTTACATCTTCAGCAACCCATGCTTGCCACAAAAGGCGACTTTGCTTGTCGTAAAAGGCGACTAACGGGATCGGGTGGTCAGGCTCGCTGACTTGGTTGACACGTCATCGGTTCCCAATTGCACAGATCGATGCTCATGCTGTTGATCACTGGATTGTCTGGTCCAGACTCAATTATTTACAGACCGCCGCCATATAGCTTGAATATTGCTGAGTGTGGTGTAAAACTAAACTCACTCACTCACTCACATGTGTTACATCTAGGTTTACACTGTAAAGTACAGATTCTAGTAATTTTGTTGGGTTGCACCCTTTTCAGGATTCGAACACACACTCGAGTCAGGTACCTAATCGCCAGCACACAAAGTCAGCCGCGTAAAAAGGGGCAGAGCGGGTTAGGCAGCCGACTTTATGTGCTCGTCATTAGGTGCCTGACTCTGAGGGTGTGGGTTCAAATCCCGAATGGGACTCAACCCAACAAAAGTACAAGAATCTGTACATTACTAAGAAAGTGTAATCCCAAATATAACATATGTCGTAATATTGCAGTTCACTCTTTATACATATTCCTTTACAAAATATACAAGAAAGTAGTGTTTCACTATAGTTACACCAGGAAAAAAGTATGAAATATAGGATGTACAATTTGTAATTTGTAATCATGCAATATTACAGACATACCAGTAGGGGATACTTGGAAATAACTTCAAATTTCCAAAATTGTAAAGGTCCTGTCACACCATGACAATTTAGCCAGCTTATGCCGACGTATGAAAAATTTGGCGAATACACTGGCGTACACTGAATAAATTATGGGTAAGTTTTGTATAAGTTAAACGCACACTAAAGAATGCTGGTATACATCGTAGTACGGCAGGTCATTGGAAAAATTTTGCATGCACAAAATGGTTGACGTATACCAACGTATGGCTCATATGTCCTGCATATGCGGGTGGTAAGTTGAAGGCAAGTTATGTGATAGTTGACACACCCTACTTGTAAGTTACTCATAAGTCGAAATACATCAAAATAAAGTCTAGCATACGCAAAACTTATTTCTAACCTATGAGTAACGTGCTTTGAACATATACGCAACTTTAATCGACTAATTTCCAACGAATATTGACGTATGTGAACGTATTTGACGTGTTCCGGATGACCACAGAACTTACTGAACCTGTTTCTAACTTACTCTGACTGACTGACTGAGTTTGGTTTTACGCTACTTTTAGCAATATTCCAGCAACTTCACGGCGGGGGACACCAGAAATGGGCTTTACACATTGTACCCATGTTGGGATTCGAACCCGGGTCTTCGGCGTGACGAGCGAACGCTTTAATTCTAACGTACAGCTACCATATGACTGACTGACTGACTGACTGAGTTTAGTTTTACGCCGCTTTTAGCAATATTCCAGCAATATCACGGCGGTCTACCATATGATGGCGTATCGGCAGCGTTCAGGGCAATTGGTAGGTAAACATGGGGTTCACAGGAGGAAACTTTCAAGACTCCTCAAGACTCCTCAAGAGGTTCTTCCTCATCACTCTCCTCGTCCATCAGCTCAGTGAGGATGGTGTTGATGCCTGACCGAGCCTTCCGGAATTTGTCCTTGCACATGCTGACCAGGCTGTCACGCACGTAGTTGGCGAAAGCTATGGTGACTGTGATGGGTTGAGGCTGTGTGAGTCTTTTGATGAGCTCCCCAGAATCGTGCACCCTCTTCTGGAGTGACTGTAGCAACTGGTCATTGTCCTGGCTATGCTTGCCCAAGTGCTGTGAACATGAGGAAGGGACAGTGGACGGCATGCTGTGGTCAACAACAACCATGTCTGCATGGGTAGCCTCGAGGTCCCCCCCCCGCTGTGTGCCACAATTCATGTTTGTCACAACCTGACCCATACCCTGAACAACGCCCTGGAAGTGGTGGAAACATACAGGCTCCTGTAAAGGAATGCTCTCGACTTCTTATAACTCATGTTTCCAAACAATAAGGACTATATGTAATCCTGATGCTAACACACAAGTGAAAAAACATTTGAAATCTATCATTTGACAATATTTCTTTCATTTGGCATAATTGGAACTCTTTCCTGCCATGATGGCTTCAGAAATTGGGTAATCTAATCTAAACTTCCTGGAAACATCATGCAATAATTCATTGAGCAGCTGCGCATTGCCTTACAGACAGTGGTTCCTGCCAGGGGATCTCATTAGCAAGAATCTAGATAACAAGTATATCTGTTTGGTTTATCGCATGATAAATACCAACTGTTTGGTTTCAGTGTGTGACTTCAGTTTTACGCCGCTTTTAACAATATTCCAGCTATATATTCACACATTGTACCCATGTGGGGAATCGAACCCGGGTCTTCGGCGTGACGAGCAAACGCTTTAACCACTAGGCTACCCCACCGCCCTGTTTGGTTTCAGAGAAAGGAACCTTTGACAGACCCTGGCTTTAGGTTTGTACACTCAGCATGATTCCAGCAATAGACAACGGCTGCCTGTAAGTAATCAAGCTGGATCAGACAATCCAATGATTAACATGATCAACAATCCACACCATCAGGGTATGACAACATATTATCAACCAAGGGTACTGACATGTGTTACATCTTCAGCAACCCATGCTTGCCACAAAAGGCGACTTTGCTTGTCGTAAAAGGCGACTAACGGGATCGGGTGGTCAGGCTCGCTGACTTGGTTGACACGTCATCGGTTCCCAATTGCACAGATCGTTGCTCATGCTGTTGATCACTGGATTGTCTGGTCCAGACTCAATTATTTACAGACCGCCGCCATATAGCTTGAATATTGCTGAGTGTGGCGTAAAACTAAACTCACTCACTCACTCACATGTGTTACATCTAGGTTTACACTGTAAAGTACAGATTCTAGTAATTTTGTTGGGTTGCACCCTTTTCAGGATTCGAACACACACTCGAGTCAGGTACCTAATCGCCAGCACACAATGTCAACCCTCTCAGCCACTGCAGCTTCCACAAGTGTAAATTTCAGAAGGCTACACAAAGTATGTGATCTAGACTACCAGTTGTCCAGCTTCCATTTTTAGTGGAACCCGAGGTGGCTGGGTCGGTTAGATCTCACAGCGATTTAACCCACTCAGCCACAAAAAATGAGTGGGTGAGATCACAGACATTGGAGCACCTTTAGAATACAGCACCACAACTTCTCATGAGGACGCTCTCAGCCGTAGGTCACGTTTCATTAAGACAAGCAACCAGTTTGTGAGAACCCGTCGGACGCGAACCTGCGACCTTCGGATTGTTAGCTCGACAGCTAACCGACTGAGCTACGTCCACACTGTTGCACAATGTGCAAATTTATCGAGTCATTCCTGTGACGTCACGGAAATGAACGGAAAGAGTCGAATAGGTCACGGACAATTACGAATGCTACGGGTAGACTTGGTGTCTCGTGATTTTATTCTGGACAATTGCCGAATGGATCCGATGCCATTTGGCACACTCGCCCCATTCCGTAATCTACAAATTAACGTGTTGCATGCGTGGTATGAGCCGATATGCCTCATACTGAAAAGGGTTGTTGACGCCAGGCGCCAGACGATTTCACGGTGCATGCATAAATGACGCTTTTATATAAATCGGTGATTTTGTGACAGAAAAGTGATGTAGGGAACACTGTAAGGATAATGTGGATCGCACTAAGGAACGAGGGAGACATGAGCTGTGTAGTGACGGCACGAGGGTGAGTTAGCCTTCGAATCATTACTTTACAAAATTTTTTGTTGCGGTGAAAGAGGCTTGAGTGCAAATTCCAGGCCAATTTCCATTAGCCCAAAATTTGTACATTAACCCATTTCATAATGTACTTTCGACGCTTTTGGTTTCCGCTTTTGTGTGTGAAAAAAGTATTAAAATGCAAAAAGGAAAAACAACAAATGGTACTCACGTATTACACCGGACATGTACCTACTATATTGGATTAGGTCCCTAACCCTAAACCCTAAACCCTCAGCCCTAACCCTAACCCCTTGAAATAATCGTAATAAATAGAATGCATTGACCGAACCACCGGACATGTACCTACTATATTGCATTAGGTCCCCAACCCCAACCCTAAACCCTAAACCCTAGCCCTAGCCCCAGCCCTAACCCTAACCCTAATCCCTTGAATTAATCCTAATAAATAGAATGCGTTGACCGAACCGGCACAAACACGATGACGTGTAATGCATTATTACTGCTTCGAAAAATAAAATACTAATAAAACACTTTTCTATGTAATGGTGCAAATTACTGAATGACAAAACTATATATGTAAATTTAAAAAATTACAAAATACAAAATACACAAAACATAACACCTCAGCAGCCCGTAATACAAATAAATATGAGCGTATTAGTGAAAAAAGAAAAATATTTCAAACTGGTGCTTGCAAAATATTGCGCATCCGCCGGTATACAACTACTGGAAACTCTCAACATCGTTGGGCTTATGCAATGACATAGCTCGTAGAGATGAAACATCAGTGAGCGGAGCTTATACGCACTCGCTGAACCAGACAACAGTGTTGCCATGCAGGGGTCATAGGGCATTGTTTCGAGAACGTGCTTTCGAACAAAATCACATTACATTACGTAAAAGGGTATTATGACATATTTTTAAAGTTTGTGGTGCTGTATTCTAAAGGTAGGCCCAGACATTATGTGTTGGGTTAGCCCCTGGGAACACAGCTCACCTGCAAGTCTTCTAGAACCATGTCGCAGATGTTGCTGATCAACGTCCACTTCTCACGTGCTACTGTGTCATCACTCTTACAGCCTTCCTTGCTCAACTTGGACAGACTGACGGTTCTGCAGAAACAGGAGCCATGTGTCAACAAGGTGGATAAGAACAGTGGTTAAAAGACTGGTCAGATGAATGATCTTTGCTCATCAAATATATTATGTAATGAGTTTCCACATGGAATATGATGGCAGACAAATGAGCAAGTAGCTAAAATGAATATGTCAAGAAGTATATCAACAAGAAGACAAAGTCATCAATATCCCCCGCAATGGCAAACTACTCTTCATGAATATGTCTACAATTATGGTTATGTCAAATATTTTGGTGTGTATGGTAAAGTGGAAGAGAGTATTGAAAGGTTTTGAAGTTCTGCACCAGAAAGGAGCACTACCACCAAAATCAGTTGAAGCCAAACTTGGAAACACAAAAAATATTTTATTCAGAAATCCAAAACTACCAAAAGGCACCATTTCACCACCAGACCTATCTATGTACCAAGTTTGGTGAAGAAATCAAAGTCAAACTTGTTGCCATAGAAACGCCAAAAAATATTATAATCAGAAATCCTAAACTACCAAAAGGCACCAGTTCATCACCAGATCTATCTATGTAATAAGTTTGGTAAAGAAATATTGAAAGGTTTTTAAGTTCTCCTCCAGAAAAGAGCACCAACAAAAAATTCAGTCAAAGTCAAACTTGTTGCCATGGAAACGCAAAAAATATTTTATTTACAAATCCAAAACTACCAAAAGGCACCAGTTCACCACCAGAACTATCTATGTGAGTAGTTTGGTAAAGAAATATTGAACGGTTTTAAAGTTCTGCTCCAGAAAAGAGCACCAACACCAATTTCAGTCAAAGTCAAACTTGTTGCCATAGAAACGACAAAAAATATTATAATCAGAAATCCAAAACTACCAAAAGGCACCAGTTTATTACCAGACCTATCTATGTGCCAATTTTGGTGAACGGTTTAAAATTTCTGCTCTGGAAAAGACAAATGTGCACGGATGTACGGACGGATGGATGGACGGAGTGCATTTTAATACCCCCCGCAAAACACGTTGTGGAGGATAATTAAAGTTTTATGGAATTCAGCTGAAAGGATGAGTGAGAGAGTTTAGTTTTACGCCACACTCAGCAATATTCCAGCTATATGGTGGTGGTCTATAAATAGTTGAGTCTGGACCAGGCAACCCAGTGATCAACAGCATGACCATCGATCTACGCAATTGGGATACAATGACATGTGTCAACCAAGTCAGCAAGCCTGGCCACCGATCCCGTTAGTCGCCTCTTACGACAAGCATGGGTTGCTGAAGATCAAGGTGGATAGGTATGGTGGATACGGCAAGTAGCTAAAATGAACATGTCAAGATGTATCTCAATTAGTTTTATGGAATTCAGTGGAAAGGAAGAGAAATGGTTTAATTGTAACAGATGTACATTGGAATATTGGACTATTGGACTTGAAAAAGAATTTTAATGGAATTAAGATTTTTCCAGAAATGCATTGGTATTCAGAGGAATTGTTCCAGAATTGTAATTTACAGGGTGAGGAATGAGTGAGTATGGTTTTACACCGTTTTTAGCAATATTCCAGCAATATCACAGCTGGGGACACCAAAAATGAGCTTCACACTCTGTACCAATGTGGAGAATCGAACCCGGATGAGCGAAAACTTTAACCACTAGGTTACCCCACCTCCCTGTAATTTACAGGGTGAGAAAGAAATGCTACATGTGCAAGTGAAAATGACCATCTAAATAAAGTTGAGATCAATAAATTCTTTTAAGAAAATAGGAATTATTCAATTGCATGGAACATTGTTTTATCAGGTATCAATTTTTTTGTACATCACTAAACAGATGCATGAGACACAAAATAACAATTAATTCAACACATAAAGAAACCACTTTTTATCGACATAAGATGCCACCATCCCACAGATGATGGAAGTGTGGTGGCCATTATATCCCAGACAGTTAATAACGTTTCACAAGATGCTAAAAGAATAGTTTGGCAATTTAAGAAACGTTCATAACATCTGTGAAGGGCACCAAGAACTGAATTGATTCAGCTTAAGTCATTGAGGACAGCCAGTGACCTCTGACCTTGCCAGGCAACGTTGGGACCACCTTTTCTCAGTCCACAAACCAGATTTTCAAACAGTGTGTCTGAAAGCACCAAACAGCCCTTGAAGATGACACGCCAAAGTCACGTCAATAGAAAAGTTAGTTTGCATGCAGTGTGCATTAAGCCACAAACAGGCTCCAATCTCCCCACACCAAAATCAATGTGTCTTTCGATCAGGCTGCTCAAATTTTCATCTGGGGTTTAAATAGTGGACAAAGAAAGGCGAATTTTGTAAGGATGAGTTTGATTTGTGGTAGCCAACTTGGTTTAAGTAACGAGTACACGCAACACTTAAGAACCTGTGATCATACAGTTTGTAACCATTTCTGTCTGTCTCTGGTCAGATCAATGGAAGTGAGCCAGATTTGATTGAATTTGATTCTTTCATTAAGTTGCTAGCTCAGAGTGTAATAAACAGATGCTGAGAGACAGATCTTAACCCTTTCTGATAAGGCAGATATCACAGTGTTAGTTTCATCAAATCAGTTTTTTCTTTATTAACAAGCATTTTGTGATGTCAATTTGGCTTTCAAGGCCTGGGAAGCTTTCTTCATGAAATAAAACCAGGATATCACCTTACGGTATGTATAACATATCAGGGTGTGGAGATCAAAAGGGTTAATGTCTAATAATATTGACAAAGAAAGATAGACCTTATAACCATAACAACAGATAATATTGATCACTTAGATAAGCTGGTTAAAGAGATGTTTGATATTCATGTACAAAACTGTTTAGTGTAAAAGCAACCTAAATCCCAGACACGATGGTACACAGGAAGTGCAAGTCAGACATATTGGGTCTGGTTTCTCACCTGCTATAGAGAGACACCTCCCACAAAAGCACAATATTCTTCTGACTCACCTGATACACTGACAGAGCTCTTCCAGGAGAACAATGTTCTGATTCTCACCTGTTTCTATTTTGAGTGACATAATGAGACAACTCTCCCAGGAGAACAATGTTCTGTATTCTCACCTGTTTCTATTTTGAGTGACATAATGAGACAACTCTCCCAGGAGTACAATGTTCTGTATTCTCACCTGTTTCTATTTTGAGTGACATAATGAGACAACTCTCCCAGGAGAACAATGTTCTGTATTCTCACCTGTTTCTATTTTGAGTGACATAATGAGACAACTCTTCCAGGAGTACAATGTTCTGTATTCTCACCTGTTTCTATTTTGAGTGACATAATGAGACAACTCTTCCAGGAGTACAATGTTCTGTATTCTCACCTGTTTCTATTTTGAGTGACATAATGAGACAACTCTTCCAGGAGAACAATGTTCTGTATTCTCACCTGTTTCTATTTTGAGTGACATAATGAGACAACTCTTCCAGGAGAACAATGTTCTGTATTCTCACCTGTTTCTATTTTGAGTGACATAATGAGACAACTCTCCCAGGAGAACAATGTTCTGTATTCTCACCTGTTTCTATTTTGAGTGACATAATGAGACAACTCTCCCAGGAGTACAATGTTCTGTATTCTCACCTGTTTCTATTTTGAGTGACATAATGAGACAACTCTCCCAGGAGAACAATGTTCTGTATTCTCACCTGTTTCTATTTTGAGTGACATAATGAGACAACTCTTCCAGGAGTACAATGTTCTGTATTCTCACCTGTTTCTATTTTGAGTGACATAATGAGACAACTCTTCCAGGAGTACAATGTTCTGTATTCTCACCTGTTTCTATTTTGAGTGACATAATGAGACAACTCTTCCAGGAGAACAATGTTCTGTATTCTCACCTGTTTCTATTTTGAGTGACATAATGAGACAACTCTTCCAGGAGAACAATGTTCTGTATTCTCACCTGTTTCTATTTTGAGTGACATAATGAGACAACTCCTTCCAGGAGAACAATGTTCTGTATTCTCACCTGTTTCTATTTTGAGTGACATAATGAGACAACTCTTCCAGGAGTACAATGTTCTGTATTCTCACCTGTTTCTATTTTGAGTGACATAATGAGACAACTCTTCCAGGAGTACAATGTTCTGTATTCTCACCTGTTTCTATTTTGAGTGACATAATGAGACAACTCTTCCAGGAGAACAATGTTCTGTATTCTCACCTGTTTCTATTTTGAGTGACATAATGAGACAACTCTTCCAGGAGAACATTGTTCTTCTTTTCTAATGACCGTTGTGTGTCCTCCAACTGAAAACAATTTGAGTGAGTGAGTGAGACTGAGTATGGTTTTATGCTGCTTTTAGCCATTTTACAGCAATATCACGGCTGGGGACACCAGAAATAGGCTTCACACATTGTACCCATGTGGGGAATCGAACCCGGGTCTTGGGTCTGATGAGCAAATGCTTTAACCTCTAGGCTACCCCACCACCCCTGAAACAATGTGGACACAATCGATATTTGTTCCACAAAAAGACAGAAATCCTTGTCTTCTATACCTACCTTTCGGAAACATAAATTGGGAAGTAAGCTGGGTTGTATAATTCTTGATATTACAAGAGGACAGCAACAGTCACACATTTCATACATGTGGGAAATTCCCGGTATAGACTTTATATGTGGATGCTTTCAGCTACAAGCTTCACAAATGCCAATTATGGCAGATAAAATTTCCTTGACATGCGTACGGCAAGAATGATTTCAATAATGAATCTTTCAACAAAATTCAAACATTAAGTTTTTCTTGGTAATGCCTGTCTCAATTCCGACAACAAAATCTGTGTTGTTTCAACATAGTCAGGTCCATATTTAGCCTTTCATACCTGTGGAATCATCTCACCTGACTCGGGTGTTTAAAAGAAAAAAATGTGAGTCAATATACCAAATACAGGAAGGGCTTTGGCATTACATTCCAGCCACATCACAAGCATACACACCAAAGTCAAAGTGGCCTGTGCTTCACACATTGTACCAACAGGGGCCGTGGGGTAGCCTAATGGTTTAAGTGTTGGCTCGACACGCCGAAGACCCGGGTTCGCATCTCCACATGGGTACAATGTGTGAAGCCCATTTCTGGTGTCCCCCGCCGTGATGTTGCTGGAATATTGCTAAAAGCGGCGTAAAACCAAACTCAGTCAGTCAGTCAGACATTGTACCAACAAGAGAATCAAACCTGGAACTTAATCATCAGGCTATCCAATGGCAATTCAGGACTTCTAATGCTTTTGAGTTGGAAACAGAAAATCACAACTTAGTACAATGTGCATACTCTCACACAGAGCAGAGTTTGGGGAAACTCATCAAAATACAAAATATCACACACACTGGTCAAAACATCTAGGGATTGCGAAATGTTTCAAACATCATACACATTTAAAGAAACTCTTCACTGCTGATAAATATTAAAAACTCCCTACAGCCACATCCCACAGATTTCCCCAAACCCATATCCTACAGTCCCCCTACAGCCACATCCCACAGATCTCACCAAACCCACTTCCCACAGTCCCCCACATCCCACAGATCTCCCCAAACCGACTTCCCACAGTCTCCCTACAGCCACATCCCACAGATCTCACCAAACCCACTTCCCACAGTCCCACAGATCTCCCCAAACCCTCTTCCCACAGTCTCCCTACAGCCACATCCCACAGATCTCCCCAAACCCACTTCCTACAGTCCCCCTACAGCCACATCCCACAGATCTCCCCAAACCCACTTCCCACAGTCCCCCACATCCCACAGATCTCCCCAAACCCTCTTTCCACAGTCCCCCAACAGCCACATCCCACAGATCTCCCCAAAACCTCTTCTTCCCACAGTCCCCTACAGCCACATCCCACAGATCTCCCCAAACCCACTTCCCACAGTCCCCCACATCCCACAGATCTCCCCAAACCCTCTTCCCACAGTACCCCACAGCCACATCCCATAGATCTCCCCAAACCCACTCCCACAGTCCCCCACATCCCACAGATCTCCCCAAACCCACTTCCCAAAGTCTCCCTACAGCCACATCCCACAGATCTCCCCAAACCCACTTCCCACAGTCCCCCTACAGCCACATCCCACAGATCTCCCCAAACCCACTTCCCACAGTCCCCCACATCCCACAGATCTCCCCAAACCCTCTTCCCACAGTCCCCCCACAGCCACATCCCATAGATCTCACCAAACACATTTCCCACAGTCTCCCTACAGCCACATCTCATAGATCTCCCCAAACCCTCTTCCCACAGTCCCCCTACAGCCACATCCCACAGTCTCCCTACAGCCACATCCCACAGATCTCCCCAAACCCACATCCCACAGCCTCCCTACAGCCACATCCCACAGATCTCCAAAAACCCACTTCCCAGTCCCCCTACACACCCACTCCCCAAGACCCCTACATATACACCCCACAGACCCTATACACCCACTCCCTAAAACCCTGACACATACTCCCCACAGACCCTACACGCCCACTCCCCAAGATTCCTACACATACTCCCCACAGACCCTATACACCCACTCCCCAAGACTCCTTACACATACTCCCCACAGACCCTATACACCCACTCCCCAAGACTCCTACACATACTCCCCACAGACCCTATACACCCACTCCCCAAGATTCCTACACATACTCCCCACAGACCCTATATACCCCTCCCCAAGACTCCTACACATACTCCCCACAGACCCTATACACCCACTCCCCAAGACCTCTGACACACTCCCCCACAGACCCTATACACCTACTCCCCAAGACTCCTACACATACTCCCCACAGACCCTATACACCCACCCCAAAACTCCTACACATACTCCCCTACAGACTCCTATACACCCACCCCCAAGATTCCTACACATACTCCCCACAGACTCTATATACCCTCCCCAAGACTCCTACACATACTCCCCACAGACCCTATATATACCCTCCCCAAGACTCCTACACATACTCCCCACAGACCCTATACACCCACTCCCCCAAGACTCCTAGCACATACTCCCCACAGACCCTATACACCCACTCCCCAAGACTCCTACACATACTCCCCACAGACCCTATATACCCTCCCCAAGACCCTGACACATACCCCACAGACCCTATACACCTACTTCCCCAAGACTCCTACTTAAGACTCCCAACAGACACTATACACCCGATCCCCAAGACTCCTACACATACTCCCCACAGACCCTGTACACCGACTCCCCAAGACCCTGACACATACTCCCCACAGACGCTATACACCCGCTCCCCAAGACTCCTACACATACTCCCCACAGACCCTATACACCCGCTCCCAAAGACTCCTACACATACTCCCCACAGATCCTATACACCCACTCCCCAAGATTCCTACACATACTCCCCACAGACCCTATATACCCTCCCCAAGACTCCTACACATACTCCCCACAGACCCTATATACCCCCCTCCCCAAGATTCCTACACATACTCCCCACAGACCCTGTACACACCCACTCCCCAAGACCCTGGACACATACTCCCCACAGACCCTATACACCCGCCTCCCTCAAGACTCCTACACATACTCCCCCACAGACCCTGTACACCTGCTCCCCAAGACTCCTACACATACTCCCCCACAGACCCTATACACCTACACTCCTCAAGATTCCTACACAAACTCCCCACAGACCCTATATACCCCCTCCCCAAGACTCCTACACATACTCCCCACAGACCCTATATACTTCTCCCCAAGACTCCTAACACATACTCCCCACAGACCCTATACACCCATCCCCAAGACTCCTACACATACTCCCCACAGACCCTATGTACACCCCCTCCCCAAGACTCCTACACATACTCCCCACAGACCCTATACACCCCTCCCTCAAGATTCCTACACATACTCCCACAGACCCTATATACCGATCCTCCCCAAGACTCTACACATACTCCCCACAGACCCTATACACCCATCCCCAAGACTCCTACACATACTCCCCACAGACCCTATGTACACCCACTCCCCAAGACCCTGACACATACTCCCCACAGACCCTATACACCCACTCCCCAAGACTCTACACATACTCCCCCACAGATCCTATACACCCACTCCCCAAGACTCCTACACATACTTCCCCACAGACCCCTGTACACCCAACTCCTCAAGACTCCTACACATACTTCCCCCACAGACCCTGTACACCCACTCCCTAAGACCCTGACACATACTCCCCACAGACCCTATACACCCAATCCCCAAGACTCCTAAGCACATACCTCCCACAGACCCTATACACCCACTCCTCAAGACTCCTACACATACTCCCCACAGACCCTATACATCCTCTCCCCAAGATTCCTACACATACTCCCCCACAGACCCTATATACCCACTCCCCAAGACTCCTACACATACTCCCCACAGACCCTATACACCCCCTCCCCAAGATTCCTACACATACTCCCCACAGACCCTATACACCCAATCCCCAAGATTCTACACATACTCCCCACAGACCCTATACACCCCACTTCTTCATGATTCCTACACATACTCCCCACAGACCCTGTACACTGCCTCCCCACAGACCCTATACACCCCTCCCCAAGACTCCTACACATACTCCCCACAGACCCTATTCACCGCCTCCCCAAGATTCCTACACATACTCCCCACAGACCCTATACACCCACTCCCATGAATCCTACACATACTTCTCCACAGACCCTGTACACTGCCTCCCCACAGACCCTATACACCCACTCAAGACTTCTTACACATACCCCACAGACCCTATACACCTACTCCCCAAGATTCCTACACATACTCCCCACAGACCCTATACACCCACTCCCCCAAGACTTCTACACATACTCCCCACAGACCCTATACACATACTCCCCAAGACTCCTACACATGCCTCCCCACAGATCCTATACACCCACTCCCCAAGATTCCTACACATACTCCCCACAGACCCTATATACCCTCCCCAAGACTCCTCACACATACTCCCCACAGACCCTATACACCCACTCCTCTCAAGACCCTGACACACTCCCTCACAGACCCTATACACCCAGCCCCAAGACTCCTACACATACTTCCCCACAGACCCTATACACCTACTCCCCCAAAACTCCTACACATACTCCCCCACAGACCCTATACACCTACTCCCCAGGACTCTACACATACTCCCCACAGACCCTATACACCCACTCCCCAAGATTCCTACACATACTCCCCACAGACCCTATATACCCTCTCCC